TCTGTGAAGCCCTGAGGAAGGCCTGGCCCGTGGCCTGGAAGATTGGGGTGGCTTTTACAGAAAGGGTGGCACCTAAACAGGCTTTTGAAGAATGAGAAGGAGTTGGTCAAACGTTGGCGATGGGGACTCACATGTGGGAAGACACAGAAGTGTGAAGGAGCCTGGGATGGGGGTGGGGGCTTAGAAGAGTGAACAATTCAGCAAGAGGAGGTGGGGCTGCAAACAGGGCTATCACAGAGAGTTTTCCTGGAAAAGCAAGCGAGAGCCAGGTTATGACAGGCCGAGTGGCCTGATAACACTTGGAGTCTGTCCAGTAAAGATTGCTGCCCTGAATTCAGATTAGGTCAACTAAGTCCAATCACTTTAAGTCAGTGTCAAGCTAGAGAAAGAGTTTGGCTGTGGCTCATCCAGGTGGATGCTTCCTACAGGAAGAGGAACTAGTCCCCAGCACACCCCAGCCACCCGCAGTGGCCTGCATGGACTATGGTCACCCCACCTCTGTGCCCTTGCACGAAGCTACTGCTGCCCATCCACACCTTCTTAGCTCCTTCAAGAGAGCTCAGGCATCTTCTCAGGGAAGCCTTCGCTGAGGAGCTGATGCTCCCACTATCATAGCATTGGTCTCTCCTTCATTCGACTGTGAGCTCCTTGAGGGTGGGGACTGTGTCTTACTTAGCCATGTACCACACCCATGGACATGTATAAGACTTGATATGCAAAAAGCTTCATCAATGAATAGCAGGAAGTAATATTTCTATTACTAATGATAATAACATGTGCGGCTTATTGTACCAAGTACTTCAAGTTCACTTATTGTTCAGGCCTGAAAGCTCAATCCTGTTCTGACTGCTCCTTCACCCTCTCTACCCATATCCAGCCCGTCCCAAAGCCCGCCCCCTTTAACTACTAAGTGTTCCTCAGATCTGCACTTTTATCCATAGACACTGCTTCTTTCTCAAAACAGAAAACTGCAACAGCCTCCCCCTGGTCCCTGCCTTTCATCCCATTCTCCAGTCCTGCGGGCCCCAGTGATGTTTCTGAAATGCAAACCTGATCACCAGCAGGCCCCAGTTGAAAGCTTTTCTGTGACTTTCCTTTGCCCTCAGGCTCTGCAGGCCTGTCTGAGTCTCTGCCTCTCTCCAGCCTGATCTCTGGTCTCTCATTCCTGCCCTCTCCCTCTCGCCTCCAAACTTTCTGGTTCACTTTTTTCTTGTATCCGAGCCCTAGGTCGGAGGTCTGTGCAGGCCCCAGGTGGGTCGAGAGAGTCTGGCTTGTGCGTGGGGCTAGGAGAATACCGGGAGCCACAGGAAACAAGGTTGGGGAGGTCACAAAGGGGACCTGGGAGATTTGATCTCAGTGGCAAGTACCATAATATTCATGCCCTAATGAGGTGCCTGGGGCTACTCACAGGATTCTGGGAGTAAAAGAAATACCGTGAGAAAAAGACTGCTGGGAACTTTGGGGAGCATTCAGTTCTGCTTTTTACCTACCATTTAACTGAGATTCTACTACGTATCAGGCACTAGGTATATTACATATATTGTCTGATTTAATTCTACAGTAACGCCAAAATGTAGAGATTATCATTAACCTCATTTAACAAATGTGGAAACTGAGGCCTAGAATAGTTAAGTAACTTGTCTAAACTCAGGCTGCGAATAAAAGCCAAATCCGATATGAACTCTGGCCTATTTGACTCCAAAGCCAGGGTTCACTGAGTGAGAGACTTTGAGGGAGATGAAACCTTATTAATTTAATTTAATTTTTTTCTATCTCTATAAAGCCTGGAATAGGGCCAATAGTCCTTTTCAAATAAAAACTTCTCCCACTAACAGTCTTTTCTGCTGGTTAGACATCATAGCCGGGGGCTATTAACTCCAAGATCTGTGAGAGAGGGCTCACTTGGCCTCTGGCTTGGAGGGAGAGATATGGGTACAAGTGGTGGGGTGGGGAGAGAGAGCAGGGCCGGCCCAAGGCCAGGGCAGGACTGGGAGGCCACAGACGACCAAAGGGAGTAGAAGGGAAGGAAGGGGGTTTTGCCATGTCACTTTGGATGGGTCCCGTTGGCTCTCTATCCTAACTCCCCTTGGAGCCCCTGAGAGTCTGGGTGTATGGGACCGTAAACACATCCTAGCTCGCGGAAGCCTAAAATGATAGAATCTTAGAACCACAACATTGTACAATTCTAGAGGCTTCGTGTTCTAATGAAACGTAGGCTCTTAGAAACATGGAATTTTCAAATCTTGAATCTTAGAAACCTAGAACCTTGGAGTCTTAGAATTTTGAAATCATGGATTTATAAACTATCAGTGTAGAAAAGCTTTGAGAATCAAAGTTCACCCCCTGCCAACCCCATACACTTATTTTGCAGATGGGAAACGGGCTCAGAGAAGGGAAGAGCCTTCCTCAATGTCCCAGTGAATTGGTAGCATGAGGAGCTAGAGCTCCTTCCACCCGCCGCATGCAAGGACTGGGCTAGTGCCTGGACTGCAGGGGCAGAGGCAGAGGCTGCCCAGCCTGGAAGTTATTCCTCCTGCCTGGTTTTGAGGAAGAGGGAGCTCCAGGCAATGTCACCCTTCCTTGTGCCTCTCACCTAGGAGGGCATGGTGATGGGGACTGTGGTTGCAGGAGGCCTCCTGGGGTTGAGGGATGGCCTGCCAGGCCCCCCACACTCTGAGCTGCTGCCAGGTTTGTAGGTGGGGGGTGGGGGGAGGGGGCTCCTGGCCTGGCCACAGGCTGAGACATTCTCTCTGTCTTCATGCTCTGAACAGGCAGTGAGGGAGAGAGGGTGCCAACTGGCACAGGGACCAGGCTACAGGGCTGCCCCAAGGAAGGTGGGACAAGGTTTCTTCAGCAACAACGCTGAGACCTAAGGCGATGGTAGTGTTGCAATCGCCCCTCCCTGCTGGGGGAGGGGACTGGGGAAGAAAGACATTATTCAATCCTTGGAGAGTTGGGCTGGCTCTGACCAGCACCCCAGCTGGGCCTGTGTCCCGCCCTTTCTGCCAGCGGAGGCTGAGAGATAAACACTGCTCATTTGATATGGGCCAGCCGGGGCCTTGCTGAGAACGGGATCTGCTGTCTGATCCCCTCTTCTACTTTGGGGGGCTGGAGAGGGGGGGAGGGAGGGAGCTAAGCCCTGTGTTCCTCAGTCCCCTGTGGCCATCGAAACACAGACTCTGTGGGCATCATGACCGTGGCCTCAAACCTTTGTTCTGGGAGGCCCAAGAGACAGAGCAAGAGCAATGTGATGAGCCAGAAGGAAGCTGGTTTCAGCTTCTTGCAAAGGAAACTTTCTAAAGGTGGGAATGGCCCTTGAGCTCCTGGGATCTAGAACTGTGTGCCGGGGACTGAGCCCCAGCCCACCCCAACAGGGAGAAGGAATTCCTGCATTGTGTGTGAGCTTCCCCTACAAGTACTGCTTTCAATACTCAGTGATTCAGTGAGTTTCAATGTCTATTCAAGATGATAATGTCCATCTTGCAGGGTCATTGCTACCAACTGAGCTAAGTAAGCACTTTACAAGTACTATCCAATTTAATTTTCTTTTTTTTTTTAATTTTTTATTAATTTATTTTTATTACAGATGTTTCTCCTTTTTCCCTCATTGATACCCTTCTCCTGATCCCCCAACCCAGCACCGACCCCAGCATTGTTGTCCATGTCCAGTGGTTACGTATACTTGCGTATAAGTTCTGTGGTTTATTTCTTCAAAACCAGAATGTTAATGAGAAAAGTAATTTATGTAAAGAGAAGATAGTCAATAAATGTTGGTTCCTTTCTCCATATTTCAATCTCATTTAATGCAACAAGCTTTGTGGATACTTTGCTTGTACTGGGTCTCCTAGTACCTCCCTAAAAGAGCTCCGATTATTCTTTAGATGATGGAGACTTTTCCAATAGGAATGATAGCCTCCCTTCTGAGTTATACAATTTGGAGAGACCTGAGTGGAAGAGGGTTGGCAGGAATAGGGCAACAGGCAGAGGGGTGGGGCCAAGAGCTATGATCTGACCCGAGCCCTGACCTGCTGCTAGGTGGTGAGCAGAGAAGAGGTGAGAGCAGGTGTGGTCGGAAAGAGCCCTAAAGACCACGTGAATGGTTGGCTATGGGAAGTGAGAGAGAGGTGGGGGTTTAAAAAGAGCAGGATTGCGGATCTATTGCACATCATGAAACAAACGATTTCAAACATTCTTAGAAGCATTCCTCTCCATATTGGCAACTGATATGCAGATGACAAAAATAATTGATATGCAATAATCAATTGTGCGATAGTACTGATGACTATATTTAAGGATATTAAAGTCGGTTGTTTAACCTTTCACTAGGCTATACTTTATTTTCCAATTCAAGCACTTTCCATCATAGCTGGCTGAGACTTAGGGACACCGTATGAAAGTAGGAAAACTGCTGTGAGTGGCTTTGTTCAATAGGCATGTCAGAGGAAGAGAGAGAGAGAGAGGGACAGAGAGGAAGAAGGGGAGCAGCAGAGGGCAAGGGAGGGGAGGGTACAGAGATAGTAAAGAAATAAGCAAAATGAGACAAAGAAAAAGGAACTAAGTGTGATTCTGAGGGCAGAAGGGGCAACTCAGACTGAGGTTGTCATCTCTGCTTGGTGACTGACTTGTTGTGTGACCTTAGGGGTATAATTTGTCCTCTCTGGGCCTCAGATTATTCACCTAATCATAATAACTAACATTTATACCACAGTTTGAATCTGTAAAGCACTTTCGCTGCTTGATCCCTTAACTGCCCATGACAGAAGTGTTAAGGTTCAGAGAGGGGCAATGACATGCCCGAAGTCACACAGCAAGTGAGTGGTCAAGGTGAGACTCAAGCTCAGATGTTCTGGCCACCTGACCAGGAGAGCATGTCCAGTGGATTCTCTTTTGCCTGAGAGGTCCAGATGACATGCTTCCTGGAACCAGAAGGAAGGAGGGATGAGGCAGCGTCTCTGGGCTGGAGCCTCCAGGGACTGACAAAGCACTGATTGGTCCACCAGGCCCGGACGTGTTCTGCCTTTTCCACGGGAAGAGATACTCCCCCGGCGAGAGCTGGCACCCGTACTTGGAGCCACAGGGCCTGATGTACTGCCTTCGCTGCACTTGTTCCGAGGTAGGTTCCTCTGGCCACCTACGCCAGGTACATCGGGGAGACCTCCAGAGAAGTCACTTCAGAGGGCGGGAGGAAGCCCGACTCTGGAGGTCAGGAGCACTCTGGAACCAGGATCCCTAGGAACTTGGGGCCACACTAAACACTCAGTACCTGCCTCCACGACCGTGCACCTCTCAGAGATCAGTCACACAGCGGGTCAGTGGCTGGGCTGGGCCGGGACTCGGGGCTCCCATCTCTCGTCCCAGCCTTCTTTCCACCTCTGCTGGTGCCAGTATCCCTGCCACCTGTGTAGCAGAAAAGAGCCTTTCTGACCTGGCCTCCCAGTCCTTCCTTTCCTCATGCTATTTCCGCCAGCCCCCTCTTGCCACGCTGCCTTGGGACGCATCCCCCAATTCCACTGGTCCAAAGGGCTGTTCCGCAGGGCTCTGGCCAGATGCCACCTCCACCAGTAGCCTTACTTGATCCCTCACCTACAAGTATCTTCTTCTTCTGGGATCCCACATAAGTTTCTCCATCCCTTTCTCTGATCACTGTTGGCCAGGTCCAATAGCCATCCACGTCTGTCGGTTACTGGCCCTCCCAGATGGAGCCTGAGAGCAGGTTTTCCTGGGCCCTCTCTTATGTCCAGTGTCCTGCTGAAGGCTGAACAAACTGGGGCAGAGACCATGTCTTCTTGTTCACCCCTTCTCTCCTGCCACCCTGCCTCCAACCCAGCACCCTCCACAGGGCCTTGAACAATCAACTGGGTGGAGTAAATGAGACCTCGATGTGGCCCAGAATCCTCAGGTCAGGTATAAGATAAGAAGGGTAGGGAAGGAGGGAAGGATTTAGGAGGTTTGAAACACCCTTGGTTTAGCTTAGCTGCCTGGGGCCCAGCCTGGTTGGAATGACATCCTCACCAGTTCTGTCTGGTGCTGGCACTTGGAGGGAGGGTGTCCCTCAGCTGGAGCCAGTACCTTAGGCCCTCTCTTTCCCTTAAAAAGCCAAGAGAGGAATGCAGAGGCCAGTAAGGGCCTCCCTTGTTACAACAACCCTCAGCTCAGAGGGGAAGCAGAGAAGAGCTTCGGAAGGGACACTGGCAAGTAGACGGGGCGTGGGCCAGCCCCTCTCCTGACTCTGATCACTGGGTGTCCCTCCTCCTGGGGCCTTTCTCTCTGACTCCCCACTACTTCTACCATGTTGGCCCCAGGTGAAACTCTACTGCCGACAGGGGTACAACCCCCCAGGACTGCCTCCCCTTGGTTTTCCTTAGCACATCTGAGGCCAATCAGCTTTTCAAAAAGAACTTTATGAAATACAGCCAAAGAACAGGAAGGAAACCCAAACAGAAAATTCCAGACATATTATGTGGTCCAGTTGACAAAGTCCAAGTTTTGTGATCCACAGAAGCTAATTAATGTCTCCCTCCCCAGAGTTTATATACACAGTTTCCTCAACCCAAAGAGCTATAGCTGACACCCCTAAAACATCCCCTAAATCCCTTCACTTCTCTCACCATCACCACTCCCCCTAATCTAAGCCACCTTCATCGCTCACCTGGATGCTACAAAAGTCTCCCAATGGGCCTCCCTGTCCCTTACTAAATCCATTCTTTGCACTGGATCTAGAAGGATCTTTGCTGAACATGAAACTGATTATGTCATTCTGGTAGCCCCTGAAATCCTCCCACAGCTTTTCGGTACACCTAAAGTAAAATTCAAACTCCCTGCTTGTGGCTGTGTGATCTGACTTCCACCTCATTTCTCCCAACTCATTTCCTACGTGTGCCAACCCTTCAAACCCATCCCTACTTGTTCCTCCACCTGACACGTTCTTCCCCCTGGTCTCTCACGAATGGTTCCGTCTCATCTCACAGGTCATAACATAAATGTTACCTCCTTATGAGACTTTCTCTGTCTGCTGTCTAAAATAGTCTAACATTAGTAACTCAGTCACATTACCCTGTGTGATTATTATCATAAACTTAACATCTGAAATGCTCTTGTTCCTACTTGCTTGTTTTTTATGGTCTGTCTTCCCCTGCGAGGATGTAAGCTCCACGAGAGCAGAAACCTTGTCTGTCTCGTTCACTGCTGAGTTCCTGGCACTCAGTAGTCACGCAGTAAATACTGAGCAAATGCAGGAGTCCTGCCCTGTCCACCAGCGACAGCTCAGCATCATGGACAGTGCATGACCCTGGAGGTGGTGCTTACTTGACGTGTCATCTTAGGCAACTTAACCCCTCAGAGGCTCTTTTCTCATTTTGAAAGTGTGGATAATAGTATCTACCTCTAGGGTTCTTGAGAAGGTAAAGTGAGATCATTCATTTCTCTATGACATAAAGCCCCTACCTAATAGCCACTCGGCACATGGCAGGTGTGACTTTCCTGCGGGGCACCTTTGGCTGCAAAGCCCCTGCCCTTTCAAGCCCTGCCTGTCTCCAACCCCTGCTGCAAGTCGCTGATCGTTTCCATTCCTTGGACCCTTCAAGGCCAGAATCAAGAGAGACCTTCTACCTCTTCAGGCCACACAGTTCCTGACACTCCACCTACCTTCTTATCTGAGGGCTCGGTTCACCTCTGGACATTGATTAAGCATCCACGTGGGCTAGGCTTCCACAAGGCCCCTTTAGGAGCTCAGACCAATTCTGTGGACTCTGTGATGCCTCTTAGCCCAGGTTAACCCTTGGGAAGCTGTGGCTCCAGAGGGACTAGGGCTGGGTCCAGGGTTTTCCCTGGAGTAAGAGGCTGCCTGTAGGAGAAGGGCAGTCAGGGCACTCGGGTGGGCAGGGAGGCTGGAAGCCAACTGGCCAACTTCAACGTTTGAACAAAGCTGGTTTCATTCCTCTAAGAGAGAGACCACCTATTCCTCCCCTCCTGGCTCTCATCCGTTCTCTCACTCATTCATTCATTCCATCTATAACAGGTACTAGCTTGGAGCCAGGCCCTGTGCTGGCCATTTAGAATCGAATGGAATGAGACTTGGTACTTGTTTGGGGGAATTCGTGGTGAATAGATGATACAGTTGTACATAGTTCATTACAGCCTAGTGCAGTGACCCTTACAGCAGGAGGGAGTAAGGTGTGGGAAGCCGAGGCCTGGGAAAACTGCCAAAAGAGGTGGTGGCTTCTCTCTCTCCAGCTCCTCATCTCACTCTGTTGTTTCTCTGCTCCCTTCTCTTCCATTGGCTGCGCCTGAAGAAGCAGAGGACTGTGGGCTCTTCCTTCACTGGTGCTGGGGCTTCGTGCAGGGCCCCCAAACCTCCAGGGACTCAGGGTGGGGATCACAAAGCCCTGAGTCTTCTTCATATCAGGTTTCTAGTCTTGTTCCCATCCCTGTCACCTGTCCTCATAGGTCACATTCCTCTCTTAACCATGAAGCTGAGGCTCAGAGGTCAAAGAACAAAGCCCTGGAGTTAAAATAACACAGTCATGGTCGATGGAGGAATAACTCAAGGTTTTAGCTTGTATGTCTCAAACACTGTGAAGGGGACAGGAGGTCTGCTGCAAACCATGCCCACTGTGCCCTGCTCCGTGGTCAGGGAGGAACATGGATGTGCGAGCCATACAAGTGAGCAAGGAAGGGGACAGACTGGACACATGAGTTTATTGTTTTTATCCCATCACAGACTTAAAGCAAGTGCAGTGTCTGCAGCTGGGTTGGGGTTTGGGGAGACGACAGGTTCAGGTGGGAGGCAATGGCTCTTTGGAACCAGGACCAACCCCTGTGTCCCCTTCAGAGTGCCCATGTGAATTGTTACCGCCTCCACTGCCCGCCTGTCTACTGCCCCCAGCCTGTGACAGAGCCACAGCAGTGCTGTCCCCGGTGTGTGGGTAAGTAGCCTCGTTCATCCCCTTGTGCCCTCTGACTCATCTCACCCCCAATGCAGGCCTCTGGTGGAGGGAGGCCCCTGAATGAGAGGGGCTGTCTCTAGCCATGAGAGATGATGAGGCACAAAGGTGCTCAGGGGAAGAAACATCCTGGGGACCCAAGGAGGGCTGGGGTAGCAGCAAGCTTCTCTTCTTAAGCAGCTGTGCTTAGCAGGGGCGGGGAGGAAATGTGGAGAGTAACTGAGGGAAATGGGGGTGTGCTTGGCCTGTCGATGGCACGCTCGGGCTCCAGTCTCTCCAGAGGGAGTAGACCTGCCTGTGCAAGTGGAGGTGAGTGATCCGGGGCTGGGGGTCCTGCACGGAGCCCCGGGATCACAGCCGTGGGGCTTGGAATGACCAACGGAGTTGGAGTATGGGTATTCGGAGATTTCTCCCTGCACTGAGGTTCAGGAATTCTGTGTGTCCTGATGCTAAATGTCTATGATTCCATGATTTTAAGATTCTAAGAGCCTCTAAGACTGAGATTCCGGGAAGTTAAGGTAAGAGAGAGGAGAGGCAGTGTGCCAAGAAACTGGCATAACCAAGGGGCTAGGGAGGCAGCCAGCGGGGGGCCAATTTAGAAGAGCGGGGTGGGGGTGGGCAGGGAGATGTTCAGAGAGGTGATGTTAGACGTGGCAAGGTGATTTAGAGAGGCTCCAGATGATGGCCTCAGCCTCTAGGCTCTGGAACCAGGCTCTCCTGGTGAGCTGAGACCTGTGTGGAATGGATATAGAGGGGCTCGTTTTCCCATTGGGACTGCAGTAGGATCTGACCGTGGCTGTGCCTTGGGTCATAGAGATTCCTGGCTCATGACCCCCTCAGGGAGTAGGGCTCTGAGCTTTGTCTTGCCCAGTGAGGGGGCATCATGCCTCCTCCTTGTCTGAGGCTGACTCCAGGAGTCCTGGCTGCTCGCTGACTGTGCCTCGGCCCAGGCTTGTGCGCGCGCGCGCGCTCTCTCTCTCTCTCTCCCTCTCTCTCTCTCTCCCTCTCTCTCTCTCGTTCCTGTCTGTTGCCTGCCTGGCTCTGCATGTTCTTCATGACTCAGCTCAGACCATCATGCCTGATGACACCCCACCCCCATGTCCCCGTTGAGTGAGTGGCTCCCCCTCAGTGCCCTTGCCTTTACTATGCAACAGTGTCACTGATCCTGGTGTGTCTCTCTACCAATTAGATTGTGAGTTTCTGGTGGGAGGGGCTAGGTCTTGCTCGGACTCCTTTCCCAATGCCTAGCAGGGTGCCTGGTATACAGAAGGTGTTTAGTAAGGGTGTCTGAGAGGATGAGTATGTTCTCTCGGGACGGGAGCCTTAGAGGCTGACCTCTCTACCTGGCAGGATGAGGACTGGCTAATTGGCAAGCAATGAGGAGGGAGATTCTGGTGGCCAATGAATGACAGGAGCTTACACCAAGCACAGGGATGCTCTGGGCCATCCCAGCTGACCCCACTAGGATGTCAGCCCACGAGGGAATTTGTTCTGTTCTCTACTGCATCCCCAGCACCTACAGCAGTGCCTGGCTCTAGGAATGAGGTTGAAGGAGTAGGGCTCAGTGGAGGGCTTCTGACCTTGCCTCTAGCTCTGAACAGGACCAGCTCAGACACTGGGGGCTCTGAAAGCCTGTGGTGAGGAGCCATGGGAGGGAGGGACAAAGTCAGATGTAGGTGTCAGCAGGACCTCTTCTTAGTTAGCAGATATGGGGACTGTCTGGGAAGATTGAGGCCCGAGCTCTATTTAAATGCCAAGATGGGCCTGGCTGGTATGGCTCAGTGGTTGAGTGTCATCCCATGCACTGAGAGGTCCCGGTTTAACTCCAAGTCAGGGCACATGCCCAGGTTTCGGGCTCAATGCCCAGTAGGGGGCATGCAGGAGGCAGCCAATCCATGTTTCTCTCTCACTTCAGTGTTTCTCTCTCTCCCTTCCTCTCTCTCTAAAAAATTCAATAAAACATATATATTTTTAAAGTTTATAACCCTGGCTTGTTTGGCTCAGTGGTTAGAGCGTCAGCCCATGGACCAATGAGTCGCAGGTTTGATTCCGGTCAAGGGCATGTACCTCGGTTGTGGTTTATCCCCGGCCCTGGTTGGGTCGTGCAGGTGGCAACCAGTTGATGTGGCTCTATCACATCGATGTTTCTCTCTGTCTCTCTCTCTCCCTTTCTCCCACTCTATCTAATGATAAATAGAAAAATATCCTTGGGTGAGGAATAAAAAAATAAAATAGCCCTGGCTGGTTTGGCTCAGAGGTTAGAGCCAGTTACTGTGGTCCAGAGAAACCCGGGTTCGGTTTCCGCTAAGGGCATGTACCTCGATTGCAGTTTGTCCCCGGCCCTGGTTGGTCATGCGGGTGGCAGCCACTCATTGTGTCCCTTTCGTGTCAATGTTTCTCTCTCTCTCTCTTTCTTCTGTTTCTCTTCCACTCTATCTGAACAAAAAATGGAGAAATGTCCTCAGGTGAGGATAAAATAAATAAATAAATAAATAAATAAATAAATAAATAAATAAATAAAATAAAATAATTTTAAAAGTCTATAAATGCCAAGATGGGATAAAATGCAAAATCTTCAGAGAATTGGCCCAGTTAATTCTGGCAAAGTTCTTAGATCCACATTAAACCTGATTTTCTTCTTTCTCCTGTCCCTCCCCACCTGCAGAACCTCACACACCCTCTGGGCTCCGGGCCCCCCCAAAGTCCTGCCAGCACAACGGGACCATGTACCAACATGGAGAGATGTTCAGTGCCCATGAGCTGTTCCCTTCCCGCCTGCCCAACCAGTGTGTCCTCTGCAGCTGTACTGTAAGAACCTCGACCTTCCCTTCAGCCCGAACCCACGGTCTGGGCCTGAAAAGCATGGTGGTGTAGACTGGGAGGGAGGGAGGGAGGGAGGGGGGGAGGAGGGAGGGAGATTGTTCTCCCTGGTCAAAGCAAAGTGAAAGTGAGTGGGCTTAGGGGCCAAGGAACACCTGGGGTTTGGGACATCCTGCCCTTCTCTGGGCTTGTGCACCCTCCTCAGCTGCCTGTCGCAGCACCAGTCACCTTGCGTGGACATTTTCCCATTTCAGTTCCCCCAGGAGACTTTGCACTCCTGGAGGGGAGGGAACACACCCAATTCATTTCTTTATCTTCCACCGTTTCTGGCCCAGGGTCTGGCATACAGAGGATGTCTTTAATGATTGTTGAATGAATGAATGAATGAATGAATGAATGAACGAACGAACGAACGAACGAACGAACAAATGAATAGTGAACCATAAGTTCTCATTCCTGGGGCACAGAGACGGGGCCAGACTGTAGCAAATGGAATTTAATCTGAAGCTGCCTCCACTCCCCCTGCTGTGGTCAGAGTTGAGCCTACGGATAGGCGGGACTGACGCTGCTGACAAGGCCTGATCTGGAAAGTCTTCACCCTCTTTTTTGGGGTGGTTCTAAGTGTGGCTCTGCTACAAGTTTGCATGGGGTTCCAGCATGTCCTTTTACCCTTGGGCTTAGCTCCTCGTCTGTGCCTTGTCAGGAGAAGCTCCTGCTCTCCAGGTTTCCTTACTACCTGATCACCAAACTTCTCTGGGCCTCAGTTCCTTTGTGTGCACAGGGAACCTGACCAAGTGATCTCCAGGATCCTCTCTGTTTAAAATAATCATCAGATTTTGCAGTGGTGCAAGGGGAGGAGGTCTAGACTAGGTGTTGGACACCCATGTTGGAGCTCTAGCTCTGCCATGGTTCCCTGTGTGACCTTGAGTGAGTCCCTTCTCTCAGCCTGCCCTTCCATCCGTTCAGTAAGAGGGTCCTATCAGTCTGGGGCTCTGATCCCTAAAGTATCTGTGCTGCTGAGCAAACAACTTACAAATGAGCGTGACAACTTATAAGTCAGCCTAGAGAGCGATTATTTTTGCAGGGCCTATTAGGTTTGTAGAAATGCCTCTTGTTTATGTGCAACCTGCCAATGACCCTAGGAGAAGGATATCAGGTGAAGAAATTAAAGCTCAGAGCAGTTAAGCAACTTCCCTGAGGTCACACAGTGGCAGACGCAAGGCTGCATAATTCCAAAACCCATGTTTCTTTCCCTGCATTGTGCTGCTTCCTATGAAGGGACAAGGGCCTAGATTAGGAGGAGGCTGTGGGAAAAGACAGAAATGACGGTGGTGGGGTGGTGAAGTCATTCTTGTGATTCCTTGTGCCTTCTCCCAGGATACTTGGGTCTCCTCTTCTTTCTTCTCATGCCTGTTTATAAGGGTCTGACTTGACTCCCGGCCTTGTCTGAGGGATCCTGAGAATCCTTGCTTTTGAGACTCTTTGGAAAAGGAATAGGGCCCGGCCAGTGTGGCTCAGTGGTTGAGCATTGATCCATGCACCAAGAGGTCGCCAGTTCGATTCCCAGTCAGGACACATGCCCAGGTTGTGGGCCAAATCCCCAGTGGGGGCATGCAGGAGGTGGCCAATCAGTGTTCTCTTTCATCATTGTTTCCATCTCTCTCTCTCAAATCAATAAAGAAAAAAATATTTAAATTAAAAAAAAAAAAAGAAAGAAACGGCATCGGGAAAAGACTTGAGGTAATATTACTTCCTCCCATTTTTAAAATGTCTTACATTTTAAAAAGGGTTTTCACAACTGTCCTCTCACTTGATTTTCACAGTCCAGATGGGTGTGCCCCCATTTCACAGAAGAGAAAACTGAGGCCCACAGAGAGAAGTGATTCACTAAAGGTTATTTGGCCTCCTGATGCGCAGAAGGCCCTTTCCCCTACAGTGTTGCCTCTCCAGGCTGGGTCCTGAAGTTGCGGACCTAGGGTTTTCAGTGAGAGCAAGATGAGCCCAGGGCATCCCCATCCCCCACCCATGTCCCTCCCTTATGCTGGGCCCCCGTTTCCAGGCCACAGGAGAAGGACATTGATTTCAGTAGGAAAAGCCTGCAGGCTGGGCTCTAGTCCATTCTGCCTGGCTGTGTCTCTGATTGGGCAGCCTAGGCCCCTGTAGGCTCCCCATCTGCAGGACGGAAGGGTCCCACCTTACCGAGTGGCTGTGGGAGCCTAGGGACAGACGGTGTGAGAACGCTTTAGAAGCTGAAGAGCGAATGCTACTTCGGGGCCTGGAGTGGGAATGGGAGGGCACAGCGGGCCCCTCTTCTGAACTGGCTGGGCCTGGCCCACATTACTCTGCTGCCCCCTCCCTCCCCCACCTCAGGGGAGACTCAAGGCCATATGCCCCCAGGCCAGGGGCTCTCCTAGCCCCAAGGCCAATCCTCATCAGAGCCCACCTCCTAGCTCCTGTTTGCTCTGTCTGTCAGGAAGGCCAGATCTACTGCGGCCTCATGACCTGCCCGGAACCAGGCTGCCCCGCGCCCCTCCCACTGCCCAGCTCCTGCTGCCAGGCCTGTAAAGGTGAGTCTGCCCCTAGATCTGGCAGTGCCCACCCACCCCGCCCCAGGGACCCAGGGGGACACTCAGCATGGCAGACCATTCCTTCCTCAAGGGTGGTGGCTTAGCTCCCGGAAAGGGGAGCCCACTGTAGAGGCTGATGGGCATTTTTCATTGCAACCCCAGGGAGCAGCAAGGAGGGGAAGGGGGAGTAGGCAGGGACGGAGGGAGAAACAATGTAGAATGCACTGGGGAGCTGCCTCTGCTTGATTTCAAGTGTGACCTGTTGCTCTAAGTCTAAACACCTTCTGTTTCTCAGAAAAGTCAGTGGTTGATAAAGGAAGAGGAAGAATTTGTCCCCTAGCCGTTACCTTCCGTTAGTCAAAGATTCACCTCACCGTGAATTTCCTCATGCTCCTCTCTTATGAGTGCATCTGTGGGTGCTAGGCTGACCTGGGAACAGGAGACAGGAGTGGAGTGGGGGGCAGGAGACATGGACAGGAGGCGTGGACACGAGGGAGGGCTCTGGTGCACCCTAGCCTGCGGGAAGCCGGCTGGAGCCCCCGAGGGGTGTTGCTGAAGTCCCTGCATTCAGGTGAGTCCAGGACGATCAGAAGAGGCACAGGAGAGGGGCCTGTACAGGCAGGGACCATGTCTCCTCCTGCCATCCTCATGGCAGAGCTGGGCACAGGTCTGGGCTCACTGGGGCTCAGAGCACACGTGTCAGGCAGGATCCAGGTAGAATCTGTGTATAGGGCAGAGATAGGCCAACACATCAGCTACTGAGGGGCAACCGGCTTAAGCAGAATTGAGTACACGGATGCTGGACTGTTCCCTGTGGGCTGGGGTAGTCTAAGAAAACTTCTTGGAGGAGGCAGGACCTGGGGAGGGGAGTGAACCACGGTAGAATGCTTTCCTGGATGTTGGTGCTGTGGAAGGGCACTGGACCGGGAGCCAGATGACTTCAGGTTAGTCCTGGATCTTCCAGCAATTTCCTGTAGATTCCGTCCCCTCTCTGGGCCTCAGCTATGCCATGTATGGACGGAACGGTTAGCCTCAGTGATTTCTAATGAACAGTCTAATTCCAGTGTTCTCGGTCTTTGAACCTAGAATGCTCAGAGGATGCCAGACTATATGTGAGGCTTGGGAGGGAGGAGCCCAGTCTGGGCTGTAGGAAGTCCTGGGGCTCCAAAGGGCCTTGTGTGCTAGTGCCCCAGTGGGTGGTAGAGAGGGGTCCTAGGGTGTCCCAGCTGGAGGGCCAGAGGGGCTGGAGAGAACTGCCCACAAGCGTAATGTGTAGACCAAGGCCTGGTTACTTGAAGTGTGGCTGGGTACAGTGGCTGCCCAGGGGACTGTGACTAAGCAGGCTGCAGGGATGGGACTCTGGGCCATCCATGATGGACACTGGACAAGAGCTCTGGCCCAGCCAAGCAGTTCAGTCCTAATGATGACCAGCAGGTCAGTGTGTGGAAACTGAGGCAGCAACCCAGATGTAGGGACTTCGTCAACTCAAGAGTGAGGAGAGGATATAATGAGAAGTGGGAATAAGTCCCCACTGGGACAAAGGGACCTGCTGGCACCCGGGGGCTGCAGAAATAGCACTAGGTCTTGGAGGGGCAGAGCCTAGAGGTGGAGGCCTGCAGGACTCCAGCCAGCAAGGCTGAGGAGGCAGAGGCTGACCCGACTTCCCTTTGGGTTTCCAGATGGGTCAAGTGAGAAATCAGCTGAAGAGGACACCACACAGTCGCACCGTGGGGTGGTGAGTGCCCAGCTCTACTGACCGGGTGGGGAGAGGAGGCGAGGTGGGCTGGTATCCAGGGCCTATGTCTCCATGACTCTGGAGCGGCAATCGTAGTTATCCTCATTTCGCATTGGTCCCTGGGTCAGCTCCATTAGCCCCAACATGTCCAGCCCCTTCCCCAGCCTCCCATCATGGCTCCCATGATGCTGATGGGCCAGGAACTGCCAGGGTAAAAGCACCAAACGAGCAGGAGCAGGCACCAGACTTGCCGATTTCCCTCCTGGGGAACTCTGACTCTTCCACCCAGAGCCTGTGTCTGTCCTTATTCGGGCCACCTCTGAGCAGCATGTTCCCCTGAGGGAGTGGCCTCTGACTTGGGCCACCCTTTCCCAGCCAGCTCCTGAGGTGCTGCTTCTTTGTCTGGGGGCTACCTTTCTGTTCCCCCTCTCTGTCCTGGCCCCTTTCAGACTTGGTCTAGAGTCAGATAAGTTAAACTGCCCCTCTCTCTCTGGTTGGAGAGGAAGCGGTGGGAGAACAGGCCCACACACTGACTCGAGTCCTCATCACCACTGTGCTGTCCACAGTGTGAACAACTCCACCTGCTCTCAGTCTGGGTCCCTGGGCCCGGCGGGGCTGGAGGCTGGCTTCCCTTCCCTGAGACTCCTCAGGGGTCTGAACCAGCGAGCTCCCCCTTCTCCGCTGTCAGCTCATCCCCCCTCTCAGGCGGGAGCCTCTGTGCCTCGGGACCTGGGCCAGGCCACCCCGTTCCTTCTGTCCTCTCCCAGGAGGCGGTGTGCTCATGAAGCCGCCCAGGCTTCGATTCAGGCCCTGAGCAGCTACTTACCGGCTGGTGTGGGCGAGTCACCATCTGGGGCCTGGGCTCCTCGATCCCTCCTTGCCTCTATTCCGCTTGACGAGCGTTTCCTGGGGGCCTCCTAAGGGCTGGGGCCTGTGCTGGGGCCTTAGACAGTGTCTCTGCTTTGGGAGCTCTTAGGGGCTCAGGCCAGCCATCAGAGGACCGACTGTGGGGCAGGAGGAGCTATAGAATAAGGGATGCGAGAGATTTGGGGTCAGTGAGGTGGGTTAAAGCTCGGCCACTCGTCCCCAGAACACTTGAGCTTCTCCCGTGGCCCAGAGCTGCCAATCCCCAAACTATGACTGCGAAGCTCCCGCCCCTTACACTGCCCTGACTGCACACGCTCACTATCACGCCAGCCCTCCCAATGGGCCGAGAGGCAGGGTCTTGGGGTCTTGGATCCTAAGGTCTCAGGAAAGGGGGCCTGAGCTCTGGAGACCCTCTGTCTCTGGATGGGGCCTGGTCCTCATCTCCCTGTCCCATGGGATTCTAGTGGGACCATCAGAGACCTACCTCCTTGTCCCAGCAACTAAATCTTCTCAGACAATGAAGAATTTTTTGACCCTCATCCTCAGTACAGTCTCACCTTCTGTTTCTTAAATATTAAGTTCTTCAGGTCCCTGATCACTTATGTCACCCAGATAAAGACCTCAGCCCCCTCTATGCACCCAGCCCCAAGGACCTGGCTCTGACAGGCCTAAGAAGGGCTTGTTGGAGGCTGGATATCCTCTGGGTTTTCAAAGATCCATTGTCTGAGAACATCTTAAACCCCATCCAGATCTTCCTTCTGTCCCTAGCCGGTGCCCTCTCCTCACTGGGCCGTCATGCTGGCGGCTGCCCTCAGGCCGCTCGCTGCAGCCTCTGAGTTGCTACTCTCACCGCCGTGGCCCATCAGTGATCTTCATCCTTCCTACCGTTTGCAGAGACATTCCCAGGATCTGTGTTCAGGGGACGGTGTGAGAAAGAGAGGCCTGGGCACCCCAGCCCCCACTGGGCTCAGCTCCCCTCTGGGCTTCATCCCTCGCCACTTCCGACCGAAGGGGGCAGGCAGCACCACAGTCAAGATTGTTCTGAAGGAGAAACATAAGAAAGGTGGGGACGGGAACCTCCTCCAACCCTTGAGGTGGGAAACGGGGGCCCCGACTGCTCCTACCTCCCATTCCTATACCCCCGACTCAGTGGTTCTCCGATCTCAATTTGGCTATGAGCTTATAGACTCATAGAACATCAAAATGAAGGTGCCCTTAAAGAACATAAGGTCTAATTCCTTCTTTGAAAGATGAGGACACTGAGGTTCAGAGTATTGAGTTAGAGACAGAACAGGTCCTGGATCTGGGACTGTGGGTCAGTACTAGATAGATAGATGATAGATAGATAGATAGATAGATAGATAGATAGATAGATAGATAGATAGATAGATAATAATAGATAGATAGATAGATAGATAGATAGATAGATAGATAGATAGATAGATAGATAGATAGATGATAGATCATTAGCATCTGCCATGTCCTTGCTGGGAATTGAGCACAGAACAGAGAGATGAAAAATGGCCACTCTCCTTGAGGGGCTCCAGACATGTAAATAAATTACTATAAATAAGGAAGTGCTGAGGGAAATTTTTTGACAAAGGAAGGAGCGAGCAGAGCCGGGCTGCCGGAGGACCGCCGGGATGGAGCAGGGAAGGAGGCCACATGGGCAGCTGTAGCAGCAGAGTGGGGGGCATCAGGACTGGTGGAGTGGGGGTGGCAGAGGCGACTGTCCCAGCCCTTCTTGTACAGATAGGACACTGAGGCTGAGTAAGGGGAAGGGACCTGCCAGAGCTTGCACAGCCAGTGACAGAACTGAATGTCAGATCTCCCGCGGTGACGCCACCCCCCTCCTTGCTCCACCAGAGGGGCTGTGAGGGTGGGAGGAGGACACTTCGTCTTCAGCAAGTCCTTACGGGGCACGTCTCGGCCCTGAGTGCTGAGATGGGAGCACATCAGGAATGTGGGACTGGTTTATACACCGGCCTCCATTTTGCCAGCAGTGTGGCTGGGCCAGACAGGTGGAGCAGGGGTTCCCCAAGGCCCCGCCCCCACCTATTACTTGACTGGCCAGAGTCCAAGGCACTGACCCTCCTCCCTCTCTGCCCTCCTTGGCCCAGCCTGTGTGCATGGCGGGAAGACATACTCACATGGGGAGGTGTGGCACCCAGCCTTTCGCTCCTTTGGACCCCTGCCCTGCATCCTGTGCACCTGTCAGGACGGCCACCAGGACTGCCAGCGGGTGACCTGCCCCACTGAGTACCCCTGCCATCACCCTGAGAAAGTGGCCGGAAAGTGCTGCAAGATTTGCCCAGGTACAAAGAGATCCTGGGGGCAGGGAGGGCACTAGCCAGAGTGAGCCCTGGGTCTCTCTCCCCAGGGCACAGACACTTGGAATATTTCTGACATGGACGGGGCATGTCCGCAGAGCCACAGAAAGCAGGGTTAGACGCACGAATGTTAGATGCACCGCAGTGGAAAATGCCAGACTTGTAATATATTACTTGTGGAACCATCTAATGTTATAGAGACAGAATTGGGGGCTCTCAGGCAGCCATATACATAGAATCAAATAGTGTTCTGAACTCTATGAAGTCCTAACATCCTAACATCTTAGGATGTTAGGACTTCTAAGAGAAATAGCCAGTGTTCATGGAGCACTCAGCACGTGCCAGGTAGGTAGTGCGCATGCATGAACTCATGTGATCCTCACCACAGTGGGCAAGGCAGGTATCTAGCTCTGTTTCACAGAACGAGAAGATAAATACCTGTCCCAGGTCACACAACTCACTGTAAGTGATGGAGCTGGGATTTGGACTGTCGTCTGTCTTACTCCAAAGACCATCCTCTTGACCTCTATTGTCTTCCTTCAACCCTCATCTATATACGGGGAAACTGAGGCCCAGAGAGGAGAAGGGACTTTCCTAAGTCACACAGAATGTAATAGTGGAGCTAAACTAGAACTCAGGCTCCCAGATTTGCCGGGCTGAGTTCTTTCAACAATGTCATGTGACCCTAGGGTTAATGAGCGAGCCGGAGGGGAGGTCAGAGTAGCTCACTGAGAAGCACAGCCTGTGAGTGTCAACAGTAGCTGATGTGAGGGGCAGGCCTATTCCCTGCAGCCTAGAAAGAAGGCGGGTGGGCCAGAAGGTGCAGGGTGAGGTTGTGCCCTGACCATATCTGGTTCGAGGGCTGGGTTGGAAAAGCTGAAAGGAAAGGAACAAGGAAGGATAGAGTAAGGAAACATGTATTGAGAACATGCTAGTGCCAGGTGATTTCACGTATTTCATTTAATTCTCACAGCTCAGTTATTTCACAAATGTGATAACCGAGCAGCTGCAATTACCCTTCTCCACCGACCCCAGCATTTAACGTCAGGAAGTTTGAGTTTGCGTTAGCTTGCTTACTGACTTATTTACTTAACTAACTTACTTTTGTGAGCTTAGACTAGTTACTTTACCTTTCTGAACTTCAGACACAGAGTTGATGAAAATACTTTATCAATTACAAATCAAAACCCAAACATAGGGAATACCTATTGTTTACCAGAGTAATATGCTATTGGGACAGGGTCAGGGAGGGAGCATGACAGGATGGTGCCTGGAACACGAGGGGTGGGGCTTCAACTTGAATTCTCAACGAGACTGAGGCTCGCTCCGGGACTCCTTAACAAACACCTGGTCTTGGGCTCCGCCAGCAGTACCCAGTCCATTTCCTCTTAAAGATATTGAGACTGTAACAGCTCTTCGCTGGACATCTCTAAGGGCTTCATAACTAGTAAGAGTCTAGAAGGGGGTGTATGTGAGGGACTTAGTCCTTCAGTCCCTGAAAAATAGTCAGGGAATGTTGGTCCATGGAGAGCTCTGGAGAGTGTTCTTGGAGTTCCAGCATGTCAAAACAAGACTTATCCAACTTGGCACCAAAAAAATACCATCATCACCACTGTCTCCATTCTCACCCCCACCTTCCCCACAACCACCACCAAAGTCACCGTCACTGTGATCAGCGCCACCACCCCTCCCACGACCACAATCACCATATCATTATGCCATCATCGCCTCAAGCCCTCCCAAACCCTTCCTTCTGTGTGTTCATCGAGAGCCTGTGCTTGGTGTGAGTGACTCAAAAGACTCGGAGGACATGGTTCCCACCCTTCACCTTGTTGGGCTCTTAGAGAAAACACACCCAGGGAAAACAGTTACAAGGCAATGCAAGGCGGTGTGGGATTTAGGGCTTGAGTGGGAATCACAAGCAAGAAGAGTTTTAAAAGCTGTGAGTGGCAGGAAACAGTGGGCTGCCTGGAGGAGGTGGAAGATGAGCTGGGCCCTGAAGGGTGAGAAGTTTCCTGATATGCTAATCAATGGAGGTTAGGGGAGGTGCCCCCTCTCTCTTCCCAGAGACCTTCTCTTCCCAGGGCACCAGAAGTTTCCTAAGGACCAAGAGACCCTGAGGGGAATTCAGACCAGTGGCCCCTCTTTCTTGAGCCTACAGGGGTGGGGAGACAGAGCATTCACATGCTCCTTGTCTCTCCCAGAGGACAAGGCAGACCCTGGCCACAGTGAGATCAGTGCCACCCGGTGTCCGAAGGCGCCGGGCCGGGTCCTCGTACACACGTCAGTATCCCCAAGTCCAGACAACCTGCGTCGCTTTGCCCTTGAGCGTGAGGCCTCTGAGCAGGTGGACATCTACCTCTGGAAGCTGGTAAAAGGTGAGCATTGGCGTACTCCCAGCTGGGCATACCTCTGATCTGTCTCCCTTCTGGGCTCCAGGCCCCTTAGGGGCTTTATGGGCACATTTTGTTGATCAAGTGCCTTTGGCCCAGGAACACCTGCCTCTGGCCCTTCCAGGTTTAGGAGTCTCTGGTTCCAAGATACAGAGAGACACTGATTCTCTGACAGTTCTGATAAGCTCACCTGCTCTGAGATGCCAGGGCCTCAAAGTGCTCCCTCTCCTGGGGGGAAGGGGTCATTGCACCTTGCAGGGAGTCAGGGCAAGGTCAAGCCTGCCCTGATGAAATAGAGAGATGTCTATTGGTGGAATTCCAGCATTTTGTGAGGGGAGATCTTTGCAGGCAGGAGGGCCTGGGGGTAGTCTCATTCAGCCTCTTCTGTATGGTGGATTCTATCCCTCCAAGGTAAGTTAAAATCAGAATATATTTCTCATTCTGTGAGAAACTCACCCTATTCAACAGGCTACTCATGTGACCAAATGAAGGTCAAGAGGAATTGTCATTGATAAGGAAATTGCTGAGAGTTCTGTTTTCTGGCTCTCTTGAGAAACATAAATCCTCTGGGCAGAGTAAAACAAACTAAACTCTTTAACTGTGAATTCGTTCTAAGGTCACTTTTCGCCACTGATGGGTTTGGCTGGGGGTGGGTGGTGGTGGAAAGAGGGGACAGTAAAGGGATAATAAGAATAATGACATGATAATAACCAATGTGCGAAGCACTTCAGATGTACAAAGTGCTTTCACATTCATTATCTCATTTGATACTCAGCAATCCTGAGAGTTAGACATTATTATCCCCATTTTACAGATGAGGAAACTGAGGCTCAGAGAGGTGAAGTACCTGGCTCAAGGCCACACAGCCAGTAAGTGGAGGAGCTAGAGCCCATGTCTTGTGACGTCAGATGCGGCTCTTTCCCTGCTCTACTCTGCCCCCTGTCGTAGGAGGAATGGACGAAGAAAGCGGAGCTGTTCAGCCTGGAGAAGAGAAGACTCAGGGGGCCAGGACCACTGGCTTCATGGCTCTAAAGGACTGCCCCAGGCAGAGGGTGCAGCTGTGTTCTGACTGACCTCAAGGGTCAACAAGCAGGGGCTTCAAAATCTGACCTGGGTTTAAACCCCGGCCCTTCCATTTCTTAGCTGTGTGGCCTTGGGCAATCACTTGACTTCTCTGGGCCTCCATTTTCTCTTCTGTTAATTGGGGAGGATTAAATGAACTATCATAGGTATAGCCTCTGACCTGTAGTAGGTGTAAACAATGTCACAGTCCTTCTCATCCCACCTCATTGACTGGGTTAGAATTGCAGTGACGCAGGTTTCAGCCAATGAAAGGAAGTATTTTCTCCTACTTACATCCTTCCTGTAATGAAGGGAGGGAGCAAGCTCCATTCACAGGAGTGTGCAGGCAAGGGCTGGTGGGGATTCTGCCAGCAGCTGAGGAGGGAACCTTATAATTCTTTTGTGCCTTGAGATTCCATCAGCCCCTGGACAGCTGCTGACTGCATGTTCACTCTGGGACTTTCCTCACCCCCACCAAGTGCTGGGGCCACAGAGAGTAGTCCTTTGGTGACTTGGGTGGAGCAAGAGGTCACTGGGAGCTGAGCTGGTCAGGCAGGCTTCATGGGAGATGGCCCTGGGGCTGGACAGGATTTAGAAAGGCCAGAGGGGCACACTGCAGGCCAGGCGGCAGCAGTGGCTTCAGAACCTGGCTCTAGAGCCTTCACTTTTATGCCCTGTGCTCTGTGATGGGCGGGCAGCATGCACTGTGTGTGATGTGCTTCATTTAATCCACAGAAGAAAACTGAGGGGTATATTTAATACCCCATTTTGCAGATAAGAAAACTGAGTCTGAGAGGTAAAACGACGCACTCAAAGTCACAAAGTTTAAGCCGTAAAGACTCAAACCCAGTTCTGACTGTCCCCAGTGCTGCCTCCACAGAGACACGCTTATGCTTTTAGGGAGGTGCCTGAGGAAGGTCAAGGTGTGCCCAGAGGTGCGGAGGGGGACATTGCAGCTCCAGGCCAATCTCTACACCAGGCTCAGCAGGAAAGAAACAAGGTGGGGTGGGGTGGGGGCTTCTCAACTGTACAGTGCCAGGCCCTTCCATCCTGTCATTAGCAAGCCTCCCCTTCCTCGCCTCCTGACTCCCTGGGTGGCCAAATGCCCCATCCACCTCCCATTGCCTCCCTGTCCCTGACCATGGGAGTCAAACACTCCCAAGGCGTGACCGTCAGTGGGAAACGCACTGTTCTCATGTAGAGAGTGGAAACCGCAGGCCTCGGAGGCTGGGAGAGGGAGGGGGGAATGGGCCTGGAGACACAGTGAGCAGGTGGATGTTGAAACCTGGGCTAAGTGAGGCCACAGAGAGAGAGCCCCAGACTCCAAAAGCTGAGCAGAGACTTGGCTTGGGGTTAAGGGCCTTTTAGATCCTGGAGTTCCAGAGTAGAAGGGGCCTTTGGGGTCTCAATTCCTACCCCCAACTAGGAAGGAAGTCCCCCTGTAGACTCAGTGATGGTCTCTAGTGCACATATGCCCACCCACCTCCAGACAGGTGATTGCCTTCCAACACTGTGGATGGCTCTGCCCAGGGAGGCCTTGTCTTCACACTGAGCAGAGCCTATCCTAGTTCCTGGGACTCACCTACTGGTGCCACCTCTGCCCTGAGGGTGCACAGAGTCCTGCTGCCCTCAGAGCTGGCATGCCGTTCACAGAGCAAGAGGCACAACCGTGACCCTCGGTGTAGCTCTTGATTCCAGTCCTGAGAGCCAGGCCTTTCAATCATGCTTTAAGGCTACAGCATGGGGACCCCCCATCCCTGTCCCCTTGTGTTTGGGGTGTGTGCAGTGGCAGGCCTGCCGCAGAAGGACCCATCCCCATTCCATGACTTGTGATGTAGCCTGGGCCTCTGGAGTGGGTGTCTCCCACATCCCGGTCCTTGACATCTGGGCTGGGGTTCCCAAGGAAGGACATTTCTGGCCCCCTGGACCTTAATCTCAGAATCTGTGCTATCCATGGCCCTTGGTGGGATCGCACTCAGATTCCCATAAGCAAGGCCAGTTCTTGGTTTCCTTGAGGGTGGTGCTGGCCTAGCAGAGGCCTTGCTGTCCCATCTGTTCTTTCTGGCCACAGACCTGGTGGTAACAGCTGGCGCAACCTCACAGCCCACGTGTGTAGAGCTTCAGCACCATGTACGGTGCCAGTGGCCAGCTCCCGATGGAATACAAACATTAGGAGATCTGGAATAATACCTTATTCTCCTTTGGGGCCTGGCCTAGACTGGGTACACATGTATTTGCTCATTCATTCATTCATTCTACATGGAAAGCCCTCCAGGTGTTCCTAGTCTGGCAGGGGAGGCAAGAATAGACACAATGATAGCACATTAGAAATTCATACAATCACCAACAGAAGCCGAGAGCGATGGGTGATTATAACTTCCTTCCTCAGGACCCAAGGAGGAAGGAAGTTATAACTACCTGGCAGGGGTGGAGAGGGTGTGAAGGAAGACTTCCCAGCTAAGGCTTGGAGGATGAGTCGGAGTTCACCTGGTGACGATAGGAGGAGTCCCAGCAGGTGGGGTGGCATATGTAAAGGCCTGGCCTGGCAAGGGTCTTCAAGTAGTTGCTTAGGGCTGGAGCACAGGCAAGGCCATCGGTCTGGTGAATTACGTTGAAAGGGGGTCTACGATTCAGACACATGTTAGTGTTTTGGTGTCTGAATAAGCACACCGATTGATTTGTATCACATATTCTATGCCCAGAAGAAAGCTTGACCAGTCCATACATGCCTGGCAGCTTTCCTTCCTTCCTTCCTCCTTTCTGTTGTGGACAGGTGAGTGGTGTGACGGCAGGATGGTGATGGTGACAGAGGCAGGGCCGGCAGGGACGTGATGGGAGGTCAGGGAAGGGGGGTGAGGGAAACAATATATTTTCAAATGACCGCAGTTAGGATCATAGGTTAGAGGGAGGGAAAGGTGATCAGAAATCTAGTGCAGTGACAAGCAAGACATGAGGAGGCCTGAATGGGGAGAGTGACCGTGGGGACTTGAGAACAGATTCCAAATATTTAGGAAATTTAGTCCACAGGATTTGGTGTCTGATCAGAGTAGGGGAGGGGAGGGAGGTGACAGAGTCCATTCCAAGTCTAAGTCAGCCCGTTTCCCTGATCCACAGCCCTGCCTTTCCTGCTCATGCCCTTGTCTCTGCCCTCAGGAATCTTCCACTTGATTCAGATCAAGAAAGTCAGGAAGCAAGACTTCCAGAGAGAGGCACAGAACTTCCGGCTGCTCACTGGCACCCACGAAGGTGGGACCTGGGGCTGAGACTGGGCCTGGGAAGAGAGCCTGGCGAGAGGCCAGGGCCTCTGGGGAGTTTCAGGCTGCTGGTGCCGGGAGGGGGTTGTGAGCCACAGACGTCAGTTCCCGGCACAGGAATCCAGTGGGTGTCTGCGCCAGAGATTTCTCAACTCGGGTGCTTAGGAGCAGAAGGGTAAAGCAGAGCCTTGCTGGATTTGGTCTTGGGGTGGGGGTGGGGGGGCACGGGGCTGCAGAGGAGGGAGGTCTGAGCCCCAAATCCTTGTGCTGCCTCTTCCCTCTTACTGGAACATATCCTCTTGGAACTTCTGATGCCCTTAATTTGCTCTACACTACCCTGAGGAAGATTGGCCCCCGCCTGGGCTTCGGGTGGGGGGCAAGTCACAGATGGGAGTGTCACTAACAGGTATCAGGAAACCAGCCCAGCCCCCAATTGTTGGTTGAAGCTGGGGTCATGTGCCAGAACTGATCTGGATATGGGGGTTGAAGGGGACACCTGCCTCCTTCTTCCCTGTGAGCTCCAAACCCCAGTCTACACAGTCCTCCTCGCCCTGTCTTCCCTACACCAGCCACTCTGCCTCTGTTGTACAAACACACGTACACACACACACACACACACACACACAACTGTTCTGCTTTCCTCCACGCAGGTCACTGGAACGTCTTCCTAGCCCAGACGCCGGAGCTGAAGGTCATGGCCAGTCCAGACAAAGGGACCAAGACCTTATAACAAAGACCTAAACTGTTGCAGATATGAGCGTTATCATTTTGTTGTTATATATTAATAAATAAGTTGCATTACCCCTCACTTCTGCCTGCTGAGTTCATATCCAGTCTCATGTTCTCACAGTGACTGCAAAGTAGGCCTGGTTATCCCCATTTACAGGATTGAAAGTAAGATGCAGAAGAGGCAGAGACTGGCCCCAGTCCTAAAGGTGAGTTGTTATGGGAGCCAGGACCAGCTCCCCAAGCCTCCCCACCCAAGCCCTTGTCTGCCACTGTGGCCTCTCCCCTGCTCTGTACTGCTTCTGTCCCGGCCCCCAGCTAGGCACCTCCTGCTTTCATGGGCTGCCCCCTCCCATAGCTCTTTGGCTTTGACCTAAGAAGGGGACTGATCCAGCTAGCCAGTGGAGGGCAGGGTGTGAATTGAGTCTCCAAGCACTTGCCCAGCAAACATTCCAGGGATCCTTACAATTGTCAGCCACACTTTATAATGCGGAAGCTAAGTTTAGGGATGAGCAGCAGTTGTCTGAATCCACAGAGCTGGTTAGTGGCGGGTTTGGAAGTGAATGCCAGGTCTCTTGCTCCGGGCTGGCGCTCCTCCCCATTCTACCGAGACCAATGTTCTTAGCCCAAATACTCTCACCTCAAAGGATTTTCAAGACTTGGCAGTCAGATTGCCAACCCTGGCACCATCGTCTGAGAAGGCATAACAATTACAATTAAAGACCACATTAGTAATTTATCCTGCCCACACATATAATTTCTTGCAATTTCAAAGACATTTTAATGGCCGTGATTCTACTTAAGATGAACGGTGTAAGAATTATACCAATTTGATTTTTAAACATTAATTAATTAATTAATTAATTAATTAACGTTTATTCCATTACCCCTTCCCCTTTGGCAACCATCAGCTTGTTCTTTATAGCTATGGGTCTGTTTTGTTTTGTTTAATTTGTTTTTATTTTTTTTAGATTCTACATGTAAGTAAAAGTATATGGTATCTCTCTTTCTCTGTCTGACTTATTTCACTTAGCATAATACCCTTTAGGTCCATCCATCTTGTCACAGATGGCAAATTTCATACTTTTTTATTGATGAATAATATTCATTGTATTTACATACCACATCTTCTTTATTCATTCATCTATTGATGGACACTTAGGTTGCTTCCCTGTCTTAGCTATACTGGTAAAACTGCAATGAACATAGAGGTGTGTATATCTTTTCAAATTAGTATTCTTGTTTTCTTTGGATATACACCCAGAAATGGAATTGCTAGATTGTATGGCAGCTCTGTTTTTAATCTTTTGAGAAATATTTCTACTGTTTTCCATAGTGGCTGCACTAATTTACAATCTTACAAACAGTGTACGAGGGTTCCCTTTTCTCCACATCTTCACCAACACTTTTTTGTTGATTTATTTATCAATAATAGTCATTCTGACAGGTGTGATATCTCATTGTGGTTTGAATTTACATTTCTCTGATGATTAGTGATTTTGAGCATCTTTTAATATATCTGTTGACCATCTCTGTCCTCTTTGGAGAAACGTCTATTCAGGTCCTCTGCCCATTTTTAAATTGGATTATTTGGGGTTTTTCAGGGGAGGGTTAAGTTGTACAAGTTTATTATATATTTTGGATAGTAACCCCTTATCAGATATCATTTGCAAATATCTTGTATTCAATAAGTTGTCTTTTCATTTTGTTGATGGTTTCCTTTGCTGGGCAAAAACACTCTAGTCTGATGTAGTCCCATTTGTTTATGTTTTCTGTTTCCCTTGCCCAAGGAGACTATCCAAAAACATATGGCTAGGAGCGATGTCAAAGAGTTTACTGCCTATGTTTTCTTGTAGGAGTCTTATGGTTTCAGGTCTTACATTTAAGTCTTCAATTCACTTTGAGTTTATTTTTGTTTTTGGTGTAAGAAAGTGGTTCAATTTAACTTTTTTGCTTGTTATCTATTGGGATTTCCCAACATCACTTATTTAGGAGACTGTCTTTATCCCATTGTATATTCTTGCCTCCTTTGTCATAGATTAATTGACCATATAAACAAGGATTAATTTCTGGACTCTATTCTATTCCATTAAGCTATACATCTCTTTTATGTGAGCACCATATTGTTTTGATTATTGTAGCTTTGTAGTATAGTTTGACATCAGAGACCGTGATACCTCCCACTTTGTTTTTTCTCAATGTTTATTTGGCTATTCGGGGTCTTTTGTGGCTCCATATAAATTTTAGGATTAGATGCTCTAATTCTGAGAAGAATGCCATTGGTATTTTAATAGGGACTGCATGAATCTGTGTATTGCTTTAGTAAGGACATTTTAACAATATTAATCTTTTCAGTCCATGAGCATGGTATATACTTCCATTTATTTGTAGCCTCTTCAATTTCTTTCTTCAATATCTCATAGTTTTCAGAGTACAGGTCTTTCATCTCTTTGGTTAAATTTATTCCTAGGTATGTTTTTTAATGCAACTGTAAATGGCATTGTTTTCTTAATTTCTCCCTCTGATGGTTTGTTATTGATGTATAGAAACACAACAGTATTGCTACTCCCAGCTTTCTTTTTGCTTCTATTTGCATGGAATATCTTTTCCCATTCCTTCACTTTCAGTCTGTATGTATCAGCATTTAATCCATTTACATTTAAAGTATTTACTGAGTCCAGCTGGTGTGGCTCAGTGGTTGAACATTAACCCATGCACCAAGAGGTCGCCAGTTCAATTCCCAGTCAGGGCACAGCCCGGGTTGTGGGCCAAATCCCCAGTGGAGGGCATACAGAAGGCGGCCAATCAATGTTCTCTCATTGATGCTTCTATCTCTCTCTCCCTCTTCTTTCCTCTCTCTCTAAATATCAATAAAGAAAAAATAATAGATAAATAAAGTGATTATTGATAACTTTGTCATTATTGGCATTTTGCTAATTGTTGGTTGTTTTTGTAGTTCTCTGTTTCTTCTTCTCTTCGTCTCTTGTGGTTTGCTGGGTTGTTTTTTTTTGTTGTTGTTTGTTCATTTGTTTGTTTGTTTTTAGTGTTTTGTTTGGATTCCTTTTGTTTTTGTTTTTGTATATCATATTTAGGTTTTGGGTTGATGGTTACCATGAGGTTATGCATGTTATCCTATATCGATAGCAGACTATTTTAAGGTGATAGACATGTAAGTTCAAATATATTCTATAAGGACTACATTTTTCCTCCTCCCTCCATGCTTTACATGTAGATCTTTTTGTGTTGTATATCTCCTACTACTTATTATAGTTTTAGTTGAGTTTGATACTTTTTTTTTTACCTTCATAGTAGCTTTTTAGATGTCTGATTCACTGTGTTTATTAAATATTTGGCTTTACCTGTGAGGTTTTTATTTCTTACATTTTCTTTTTTCTAGTTATAGTCTTTCCTTTTCTGCTTAAAGAAGGCCCTTTAACATTTCTTGTAAAGCTTGTTTAATGGTAATGAACTCCTTTAGTTTTTACTTATCTGGGAAACTCTATCTCTCCCTCAATTCTGAATAATAACCTTGCTGGGTAAATTAATCTAGGTTGCAGGTTCTTTTCTTTCAGCACTTTAAAGATGTCCTGCCGCTCCTTTCTAGCCTGCAAAGTAACTGCTGAGAAATCAGCTGAAGTCGTTATAGTGTTTCCTTTGTATGTAATTAGATGTTTTCCTTTTGCTTCCTTCAAGATCATCTCTTTACCTTCAACTTTTACCATTTTAATTACAATATGTCTCTTTGGGTTCGTCTTTTTTGGAACTCTCTCTGCTTTCTGGACCTGGATGTCTAATTCCTTTCCCAGGGTAGGAATAGTTTCAGCCATTATTTCTTTAAATATAAGTTATGCGTCTCCCTCTATTTTCCTTCTGGAATCTCTATAATGTGAATGTTTGAGCTTGTCATGTTATCCCAGAGGTTCCTCAAACTTTCCTCATTTTTTACAATTCTTTTTTCCTTTGCTGTTATGATTGGTTGATTTCCACTAGTTTGTTTTCCATTCTTCAGTGTTAGCCAATCTGCTGTTGATTGTTTCTAATGTGTTTTTCATTTGAGTTATTGTATTCTTCAGTTCATTATACTTTCTAACATTTTGTGGAAGTTCTCTCTAAGTTCCTCTATTCCACTCTCAAGTTTGGTGAGCATCCTATGACTGTTTCTTTCCATTTTTTACAACGCAAATTACTTATCTCCATTTCTTTAGGGTTTTTCTGGGGGAATTTTCTTGTTCCTTTATTTGAAAGATATTATTCTGTCTACTCATCTTTCTATGTTTGTTTATATGAATTAGACAAAATAGCTATTTCTCTTGGCCTTGAAAAAAGTGGTCTTATATAGAAGTGATCTCTCTGTAGGCTGTGTGTACCAGTGGTTTCGGTGAGTTATAGGAGCCAAACGGGTGTTTAAAGGCTTCCAGGGCACTGCCTTACCAAGCTGGAGCAGGTCCAGGTGGGGAGGCCAGGTGTGTGTAGTAATGTTTTATTGATTGATTGTTTTTGCTCCTTTTGCTTGGGGCCAAAATGGGCTCGGGCACTGTGTCCAGAACAAGCTGAATAGACCTTGCAGGTAGGCTACAGCACCTGCGTAGAGCCCCCACCCACCCTGTGGGGATGGAGGAGGACATAAACAACGCTGCTCACTGCCTCCCCCCTCCGGAGAATTCCCTTGGTTCCCGGAGAGCTCCCACAACTCCCAGCCTTCTCTCTACATTCTCTCTCTTGTGTGTTGTAACAAATGTGCTCCCAAGCAGAGGCAGCCTCTGGGTAGGCTTTATGTGCTGAGTAGTTTGGGAAGCTGGTTGGAACTGAGTAGGTGGTTACGGCACCTGGGGCACTGCTTTGCCTTCGTGCTTGCTCCCTTTGTTCAGAGGTAAAAATGTCCTGGCATTGTAGCCGAGAACAGTCTGTGGTGACCTTACAGGGAGGCCAAAGTACCCAAAGTGAGCTCCCAGCCGCCCTCCGCAAGTGAAGGGGGCTGTAAACAATGGTGCTCAGGGGCCCCTCTGGCCCAAGAGTTCTCGCAGCTCTTGGAAGGCTCCCGCGGCTTCCCAGCCTTCTCTGTTGGGTTTCTTCCTCGT